GAGCTCGACGTGCCCAACCCGAACTTTGGCTGGCACTGCACGCAGGTAGCCTATAGCGAAGGCTATGTCTCGCTACGTCGGTATCCCGAACACATTCGCGATGTTTGCGTCGTGGACCAAAGCGAGAATGCGGACGTGTACAAGCTCATCAACCACACGGACGAGCTCGTGCAGAAGATGCAAGACGCTGCCAACCGCCTCCAAGTGAGTCTCGACACCAGTCGCCAAAGGTCCGCCAAGCGCCAGATGCTAGACGATGGCTCGTCGCCCAAGCGCCAGTGCGTCGAGTCGTAAGCTTGCATGGCGTACGTACTCTAGTCACCTAGTACACATTATATACTCGTATGCGTGTATTAGCAGCAACACTAGCCGTACACGAGCAGACTTTGCACTGCATAACGCGCGTTCGCGTCACCTTGAATGTTGTCGACGTCGGTATCCGAAGCCACCATTTGCACGTCAAGCCCTAAAAGGTCTGGCATGCGATCCAAAGATTTTCAGAGTGAAGCGCCACGTCATCACTACACCAAAGCATCAAGACAGAGCAGAAAGCCGGAAGGCTCTCAGACCACAGCGTGCAAGGGTGCTCTGTCCAGATCCATTCGAGGACACGGGCAACCGTGCTCGTTGCCAGTCCTGTCTCTGAGATGGCCACGGCGACTGCTGAACGCAACCGAGTTGATAGGACGGTCGCCATGAGCCTATGAGTGCTGGTGCTTTCGGTGCTTCAGAGGAGGAGAAGGACCTTCACTCGTGTCCACTGACGTTGGATACTTTGCCCTTTCAAGTAGACGCGGCGCGTCATGGACCAGTGATAAATTCGCGCACCATGTCGCAGGACCTCCTCGAGCTCGTACTCTCGGTCAACGCGGCGCATTGCAGCCGTGCCAAGCACCCGACGCCGTACGCGCCTCGGATCCGGGTCGAGGGCCTCGACGACGAGCTCACGTGGCCGCTCCGTGACGCTCAAATCGCAGCCCTCGCTTTGAAATATCCAGGCGACCCGATATTTGTGCCGGAATCGGCCATGATTTTTGTCGACAATGACATGTTTAAACACGCGTTGGGTCAAGACGACCACGAGGTCATCCGCGGCTTGCACCCGTGGGGTGTCTACAACATCACCTTTACCGGTCTCTCGATCGACCGCATTGGGTGTCCCTCTGCATTTGACAGTACCGAGCCGACCGACGATACGTTTGGCGTCCAAGTGCACGTGCTTCCATCAGACGTTCTCGGTGGCGCCGTCACGCTCGCGTACGAAGATCGGTCGACCACGTGGGAGTCGGTGAGCGATCACATGCTGGGGTTCTACACGGCGTGCTCGCTCGCAGTTGCGCCGATCACGGCGGGTGCGCGGTCGGTCCTCCTCTATCGTGTCGACCACGGTGCTTACTACGATTCCAACGACAGCGACAACTGCGACGACAGCGACGACAGCGACGATGACGACGTGAACGCCGCGTCGATATACATGGCGCCGATGCCACGCCCGACGCAAGCGCTTATGCACAGAGCCATCTCTAAACCGTTGTCGCACATTGCACTTTGCGTCCGCATTCCGCACACCGGACCCATGTCATTTGCGCTACTCGCTGGTGACGCCAAGGCAACGGTCGACTACCTCGTGTCGACGACGCTGCTCGATGTAGCCCTTTTGCACGGCGAGCGACCTGTCTTCCACCCAGCGTGCGAGACGCCGACGTCGGTTGTTGCAGCCACAACCCGAGCGAGTCTTTTTCACGCGCTAAACTGGCACACCGACTACACGCCCCGAGAAGGGATCATGCACATTTGCTTTTGGCCCAAGGCGCACCGCGTCTACTTGCTCGGACTTGAAGCGGCGCTGCCGCTTGTGCAACGATTGGTCGATGGCGATAGTACCGTCGATCGGCTTGGCGCGACGAGCGTGCGCGCCTTTATGACCGCGACGGTCGACATGGTTCGCCTCCGCCTGCAGAAGCGCTGCCGCCTCGCAATCGCGTCGTCGACGTGGTCTACACTCGGGGCACTTCTCTTGGACTTTGGCGACGTCGACCTTTGCATGCTGTTCCTGCAGCATACTGCAACCGACGGCTTGTTTTGGTCGGTGGTCAATGCGGTCCGCGATTGGTTCCTCGCTCTTGTGACGCGCTGTGGCTGGCAACCATTGCTCCCGCATCTCCAAAGTCTCATGGACGCCACGAGCGCATCACGGGACGTCATGTTCCTGTGCTTGGTCGAGCGACTCATTCTCAACAACCGCCTCTGTGTGCGCCAACGACACCTCACCGAGCTGCTCAAGGCTGTCCTGCAGACCGTCTTGCAACGATGCGCGCGCCAAACCTCTGCACAGCATGCCATCACATTCGTTCGCGCAGCCCTGCGCATCGCGTCGTGCTTGGCCGTCGAAGGCTCGGATGTCGTCGTTGGCTCAGTTCTTTCGGAACGCTTACCGGCGTCGGTGCTGGCCATCGTCGAGAGCTTCGACACCAACACCTTGGCGCGCGCTGTGCAGTTGAATGAGGATCTGAAACGGGAGCTCCCCAAGGTGCTCTGGGGGCTACGAGACGCGGGGTTGCAACTTCCGACGCAGACGTACTTGCAGATCGCGACGGCGTACTACTGCAAGAAGTCGGACTGCCACCGCTGCGGACTCGCCGCGCTTCTGCTGCTCACACGAGACACACTGGCCTTTGACTCTGTCTTTGACGCCGCTTTGCGCCGGGATATGGACTTGGAGATCTGGGCCGACGTTCTTGTGACACCCGGTATGCACCTCGCGGCGTCGCAGGCGACCTCGCTGCTCGCGCAGGTCGCGGCGGCCGTCGTCGACGTCACCCCGATCGTTGAGATCACGGAGACAACGTGCTTGCATTATGCTGTATCCCAAATCCAGGGTGCGCTCAGTATTTGCCACTACCTCAAGGACGATCAAGCGGTGGCGACGGTCCTCGAGCGCGTTTTTTCAATGCAAGCCATGCACACGGCGCCGATCACGTTCGTAATGGACGTGCTGGTGCCTCTCCACGACACGTGCGTCGGCCTCAACCGTTCCACGCTGGCCCATGCCCTTGCGACGCGCGCCTTGTCGGTGGTTTCAGCGCACCTGGCTGCCTTTGGCACGCGAGATCATTGGACGACGTCGGCGTGGGCATGCGACTGCTGCGTGTGCAAGTTGGTGGTAGCATTTGCAGACAGCTCCGAACCGCCGCATGCCTGGCGATTTGTGCTCGGCTATTGCAGGCACTTGCGCACGCTCGTGGAAACAGGGACAGTCTTTCATCGGTACCCGTCCCACGAGCGCGACGTGTGCTTGAAAACCACCGATGACGACGATGACCGCCACTTTACGCTCAGCAATCACACGACCGAGCTTCTCGAGCAGATGCGCGACGCCAAGGCGCGCCTCGAGCAGTCGCTTGTCGCTAGCATGTAAACCACTTGAATCATTGCATACTTTCAATGTATCAAGTGACTCGTCCCGGCGCAGCAAGGACTCTGAGGTGTTGCCGTCCAGATCGACGCGATGAACCGACACTACGCTTGTTTGTCATTTTTCTTGTCCATCGTCGTTCAAGGCGAGATATTAGCATATTCGCCCGTGTCGACCCCGGTACTGGCATGCACAGGATACAGGATAGCCCATCATATCTCGGCACAGGATCGTTCCGGGCTGCTGACCCCACCAAAGATACTGCACCAGCAAGTGATATTGCGCATCGGGACCTTCACTTGCACTCTTGATACCATTCGCCTGCAGTGTGCACGATGCATTGGTAATGACGGTCTTCTCAGACCGATCCTGTTGCGAGTGTCAGCGATTCATACTTGCGCACCATGTCGCACACGATGCTGGAGCTCGTGCTCTCGGTCGACGCAGCGCACTGCGGCCGAGCCGAGCACTCGGTGCCATATACCCCCAATATGCACGTGAATGGTATGCGTGTTCCGCTCACGTGGCCGCTCTCCGCGGCGCAACTGGCCGAGCTCAGTGCCTTGTACCCGGGCAACCCGATTCGGATCCCGTGGACGTCGATCGCACAGAGCTGCACGGACAATGTCTTTGAGCACACGCGCAAGATGCGCCACATTGTTCAGAGCATGCACCCGTGGGGCAACTATGACACGGGGTTTCAAATGCTCACGATCGACCGTGTGGGCACCGCGGCAGCGATCACACTGCCCAATAACTTTTGCGATTTTTTTGGCATCATGGTGCACGTGCTTCCGTCGGATGCGGTCGGCGGCGCTGTCACCGTCTCGTACAACGGCCACACCACGGCGTGGGACGAAGTACGCGACCGCCAGTTTGCGTTCAACGCTGCCTGCAGCCTGCAAGTGGCACCCATTGTGTCGGGCTCGCGCGCCACGCTCGTCTATAGCGTTGCCTACTCGACAGACGGCGCCAGCGACGACGACCAGTTGTTCCACTACTACAAGCGCCCGATTCCGCGCCCGACGATCGCGTGCATGCAGAAGGCGGTGGCGAATTGGAATGAGCATACGCATGTGGCGCTCCGCTGGCGCTTTGCGCACGCCGGGCCACTGTCGTTTGAGGCGCTCACCGGCAAGGCCCAGGCGGTGGTCGAGTACCTTGTGTCGACACGGGTCGTCGACGTGGCTCTCTTCCAGCCGGACGGGGCGACCGACGACATTGCGTTTCACGCGGCGTGCAGCGTACCGGCATTGGTCGTTGCTTCTTGCCCCCACGCCCGCTTGCGCGAGTTGTCGGCGTGGTCCGACGACGCGGCGCCCGAGCCCGACACGATTTACGTTGCATTTTGGCCCAAGGCGCACCGCGTGTACTTTGTGGGCTTTGCGCGCATGGTCGAACTCCTGCAGACGCCTCGCGACGCCTTGAGCACCGAATTGGCCGACTCGTTTGACGACTTGGTCTCTGCCGTCATTCGCATGCTACGTGTTGGCATCCGTGAGCGCTATGCCATGCGAATCGAGCGCGCCAATTGGCACCTCCTCGGGTCATTGCTCTTGCATCGCGTGGGGCGCGACGGCATCGACGTGTGTATGCACTTTCTCCAGTGCACGATGCACAATAATGTCTTTTGGTCGGTGGCAAATCTGGTGCCAATCTGGTTTCTGGACGTGGTGACGTGCTACGGCTGGCAGCACGTGCAGCCGCGCTTGGTCTCGCTCATCGAAGGCACCGACACGTCGTACGATGCCGATTTTATGCATTTGCTTGTCGGGCTCGTCGATAACAACCGCTTGCGTCTGCGCCAGCGCCACGCGACCGAGTTTCTCAAGGCCATGCTCACACTTTTACTGCGTCGGCGAGACGACCACAGCCGCCTCCCAGACCAAGACATATTTCTCCACGGTGCGCTGCGCGTCATGTCTTGCTTGGCGACCGAAAGCACCGATAGCGTCGTCGGCGGACTCTTGGAGCAGCGGCTACCGGCGCCGCTTGTGGCCGGCATTGCGCGCTTTGACCCGACCCACTGCTCGCTCTTACAAGCCGTGCACAGCACCGCCGAGCTGCAGCAAGAAGTTCCCAAAACGTTGTGGGAACTTCGGAACGTCCCCTTGGCGCTGCAATTGCAGCCGTACATTGACGTCGCGATCGCCTACTACAGCACGACAGAGAACTGCGACAGCCTTGGACTCAGCGCGCTGCTCAAAGTCACGGCCGGTACCCCAGCCTTTGGTGCCGCCGCGGACGCGGGCCTGCGCCAAAAGATGGACTTGAGTTTTTGGGTGGACGTACTCGGGACGCCCAGGACGCACCTCGCGCCGTCGTTCAAAGCGCAATTGATGGCGCAAGTCCTTGCCGCGGTCCAGAGCGTCACACCGCTCAAAGCGCAGACAGACGCCACTTGTCTGCGGACGCTCGCGGTCTGTGTGCAGAATGCCATCTGGATCTGCCACCACCTACGCGCCGATGACGCCTTGGCGACCATACTCGACCGGCTCTTCACGCAGCAAGCGATGCACGTGGACCAAGTCACGTTCGTCATGGGCGTGTTTGTGCTTCTTTACGATACGTTTGTGGATTCGGACCTCGCGTCGCTGGCCATTGACCTTGCGATGCGAAGCGTGCCCGTGCTCGCAGCGCGGCTCGCCTTGTTGTCAACCCGCGAGACATCGACGATGGTCACGTGGCCCTGCGACTGCCGCATTTGCGCACAGCTGAAGGCGTTTGCGACGAGCCCAGGGCCAAGGAGCGAGCGGTTCGCGACGCACTCGTGCAAGTACCTCAGTCAGAGAATGCAGGCTGGCACGGCATTCCATTGGTACCCGTCGCACACCGAGGATCTGTGCTGGGAGTCGGTCGACGAGACTTACCCGGTTTTGATCAACCACCCCACGCACCGCGCCACCGAGATGCACGACGCAAACGAACGCCTTGAGCGCTCGCTCGCACTGCGTCAACAAGACTAAGAAATTTAGTTCTTACAGCATAAAAACACAGTTTATCACCGGACTAGTTTCCGTCTTATCGATCTTAGTGACCTCGAATCCAGTTCTGGTGTGTACATCAATGGATATCTATCTATCTATCTATCTATCTATCTATCTATCTATCTATCTATCTATCTATCTATCTATCTATCTATCTATCTATCTATCTATCTATCTAT